AATGACCAGAACAACAGCCGTTAAAAGACCAAGGAGGACGAAAGTCTTAGAACCCATATAATTAGTTTCTTTCTTATGTATCAAAGTAAACAAACTTTGACAAAAGTATTGGGAGAAGGATGCTTAAACAAAGGCATTCTCTATCTCTATTTATAGGCCCCAAAAGAGGGAAGATACTGTGGGTGTGACGCCAAGAAAGATTGTGTGTAATATGATCTGGCCCCGCGGTGTTGTTGGCTGTTGAAGAGTCACCAAAATTTTCAATCTCAGTAACTGTAGATGGGACAAGACAAGAGAGCCATGTAAAGTGGAAGATTGATCTCTCAGCTCTAATTAGAGTAGAGGTTGATTTCTCCCTCGTTAACATTGCATGGAATTTAGGAGAAAATTTTGGATGAAATTTTTTAACTGAAATTTGTAAAATTTTTTATTAAAAAATATTAAATTAAAATTAAAATTGAAAATCTAAATTGGTAAAATAAAATTTTTATTATATAAATTAAGTGTATAAAATTTAAATAAATCTTAATAAATTTTGATATATTTTATAGATATTTTTAATAAAAATTTGATAAAATTTTATAATTAATTAAGTATCAATTAAATTTAAATTATAAAAAATATTTTTAATAATTTTTTATATCTTATTAATTTTTTCGTTAAATTTTATCAATTTAAATTTTTATTAAATTAATTTTAAAAAATTTTGCAAATTTAATATAAATAGTTTCATCTAAATTTTATTCAAATTTAATGACATTTACGTGCAAAAATTTAAAAATGGAGATTGGAAAAATAAATGTAAAACCCTTTCATCTGGCGTGGACTTATGGCAGTGTCTTATCCAAATTATTATTGTTGACTTCGAAGGCTTTTAGTCAAAGTGAATTTAAAAGTCGGTAAAAACTTAACTACCAGACAAGAAACACTGAAACACGGTAAATGTCGTTTTACGGTTTCCGCCTCTTGGTGGCAGATCCATGCTTAAAAGTAAAGTATCTATTGATATCTTTAAAAATTAAAAAAAAAAAAACTTTAAAAGAAATTTAATTTTTTAAAATTTTTTGTCAATAAAATTTAAAATTTTGTTAACTAATATATATATATATTATTAGTAGATAATTTCTGAAAAAATCTTGAATTTATACAACAATTAGACCAATTTGATTGAATTTGTGTCATTTTGATTTAAATTATTTTGATTAAAGAAAGATTTTGTATTATTTTAGATTTGAACCGTCATTCCAAATTGAGATTAATTCTAATTGAAATTATTCTAAATTCAAGTTTATTTGGTTTAAACTCAAGTTAAATTTGAATCATTTTAGTTTCGAATTTTTTGAATTTAAATTTGAATCAATTTATCTTTTGATTATTCTGCATTTGATTCAATATAAGTTCAAATTATTTTAAGTTTTTATTATTTTGTTTTCAGATTATTTTGTTATCAATAGTTTGGTTTGACTTAAATTATTTGAGTTTGATATGTAGATATTCATATTCAATTCGTTAATTTTTGGAATTAAATTAAATTGTATTATATGAATTATTCAAATTAAATTCAAACTTATGAATGATAATTAAATTTAAAAAAATTACATTTTTGATGAACTTAAAGCATGACTAACCTACATACTATTTAGATTTTTAGTATCATAAAAGTGTAACTGCACTATTTGCTTTAAAAATAAAGTAAAAATAAATATTATAATTAATTAAAAATAAAAATACTTAAAATATTACTCAAATTATAGCACAACTTAAAAAAAATATAACACAAATAGTTTATATTCAAATAAAATGGGCTTTGCTAATTATGTATTAAGTAGGCATTTCACTTATAAAGAAACTTTGGCACTTTGTCATTTATTTGTTAAATAAGTTTTGTCAGTTAAAGTAACTTCGGCTTTAATATATATATATATAGATTGTATTTGATTCTTTCTCTATATATATATATATATATATTACACTATATCATTATTTATTTTTTAAATTATATTATTAATTTTTAGAGTAAAAATAAAAAAAAAACTTTAATTTATGATGTATAAATATATAAGTTTATTTCCATTATAATAATAGAAATAATTTTCAAATTATAATTAAGAAAAAAATTAAAAGTATTTAAAAATTTTAAAGTTTTTTTTTAAATTGAAAATTTAAAGTTACTAAATTTTAATAAATAAACAATTTGTATAATATTTATTATTTTTAATTATATTATTATTTCTAAAAAAAGTAAAATTATATCTATACAATTTAATATTAGATTATTTTAAGTTAATATTGTGTATCATTTGAATTTGAATTAATTTTGATTCAAATAAATTTAAATTTAAGTCAACTTAAGTTTGAATTTATTTAAATTTGAGTTTGATGGATTCGAATTGTTATTAAATTAGTTTAAATTGAATTTGAATCAATTTAAGTTGGACAAATATTTCAACTTCGAATAAGGGTTACCATCTTTACTTCGAACTTTCAAATTCAATTGCCAACCTAACTGTCTGGACTCGTTATTCCGTGGTTACTACTTACCATACTTAGCAATTTTTTGAAGACTGTTTGGTTTGAAATTTTTAGATTTAGAGAGAGAAAATTATTTAGAGAAATAAATGATACTAAAGGAGAATATATGATTTTTTTTTATTTTGCAGAATATAAGTTTTTTTTTTTTGTATTTAGTTCATAAAAATGTAATATTACTTAATAAAATTTTTTATTATATTATCTTTAATAATATGTGAATAATGCTTGATATTTATAATATTAATTTGTGAATAATACGTGATACATGAATAATATATTATTTTCGTTAAAATCGAATAATTTTTAAAAATAATTTTTATATTATCAAAAAATATAATCTTACACTTCTAATTACTATCTTAATACTAATTGATTTTACGTAGAAAAAATAAATGAATCAATTTTTGTGGTGATAGCATTATGTTAAAAATGTTATTTTTATTTAAAATATATTAAGAAAAATTATTTTTATAATATTTTATTAAAAAAAAAATAAGTTTTTAAGGTAAATAATTTTTTTTTATGATTTGAAAATGCCATTAAATGAGGACAAATAAAAAAAATTTTATTTTTTCTTCAAAAATCTTAAAATTCTTCAAAAAGAGAAAAGTTTTTAATTTTCTATTTCTTTATACTATAAAAAATTTTAAAAAACTTCACAATCACATTCTCGTAAACCAAATCAAAGAATTATTTTACAAAAAGTAAATTTCAAAAGAGAAGAAACAAATAAATATTAATAAGATTTTAGCAGTTCAAAAAGCCAATCAAAATTTGAATTATATTTCTCTATTAGTAAATTCTAAAATACTGTCAGTTTAACCAATCGAAGATCTTTTTTATTATCACTTTAATAATATCTTTATTCACGTGCATTCTTAACTTTGGTAAAACCCGATCCACTTGTATTTTTTCCGCTATTGTGGAAAAGCAGTCAAAAATAGATGGAACGCAAGATTAACCAATGGGCTGCTCTCATTGTTTGCTTTTGTTTAATGACTTGCCTGTCCCCCATTTTTTTTGTTAGAAGAACTTGGCCTTTGTTTGTTTTTTTTTTTTCGGCCGGTTGAGTTTTGAGTTATTGGTTCCTTTTCAATGTTAATGGGCAAGGAATGCGTAAAACATTTTTCATCTCAATTTTAGATTTTTAGATTTTATATATTTTCGTATTTATATTTAATAAATATTTTAAATTTATTTTTATCTTTATTCTCATATGCATTTAATACATATAAGTAATTTTCATCCCCATAATTTAAAAAAAAATAAAAATAAATGTTTATTTAGATTTTTCTTATTTTTATCTTATATATTTAGATAAGTTTTTATAAATATATATTAATATATTTTTTCAATAAAAATATATTAATTTTAATTAATTTAAAATTAATTAATCTGTGGGTCTAATTGTTTTTGAAGAGGTTTATAGTTAGTCAAGGGTAAGACGACTCAATTCAAAATATAAAGATGCGTGTAAGTAAAGCTGAAATGTTGAACTTGCGTTTAACGCTTATGGGCTTGCAAGAATTTTCGTTCCACTTCTTTTCCTTCCGGCTGGTCAGTTGCTAGTTGTACCTTTCTACATGCTGTGAGCCCATTGGATGTTTTCCGCTTAACAAACCCTAAGGCAACACCAAATCTTTGTATAAAACTCAATAAACAAAAGAAAATTCATATACTTTTCTTTGCTAAATATTTTATTAATTTAATATTTAAATTCTCAACTATTGTAGTCGGGGAACTTTCCTACATTGTACAAACAAGTTTATTAAAATTGTGAGAATTTAAATTTTAATAAATAAAATTAATAACTTAATATTCTATCAATATATTATATGATAATTTGTTAAAATCATATTTGATATATAAAATTATGATAAGATAAAATAAAATGATATTATTAATAAAATTAAATTAAATAATATTATCTTATCTTATATTTATGTGTTTAAGGATTAAAATAAAGTAATTTATATATTAAACAAAATTATTCTTTCTCAAAATTTATATAATTTAAATTATTAATATAATTTTTAAGAGTATAATAAAATAGATAAATTTAATCTCATAAATTAAAAATAATTTTTTTATTTTGAGAAGATTAAATTATCTTATAAAAAAATTTGTTTTTATTATAATTTTATCCTTTTCAATTAAATATAATATAAAATTAGTATCATATTATTTTATTTATCATCTTATATACTAAATATGATTTAAAAGTTTAATTTTAAATTCCGTTGATCGCGTAAAGAATTTTGAAAAGGAAATGGGAAAAGAAAAACGAAACCGTGGCAAGAAAATTCAACTGGCTAGAAACTAAGAATGGAAAAGTATTTGGCGCAATGACATAGCCAGCATATTTGGACTAAACCCTAGAAACAAGTTACTTAATAACTGTATAGCAGGTGGGTATCAACTATAAATATGTTTGACATCTAACTTTCTTTTCACCAAGCTCAAAACACTTTCTTCTATTTCTTCTATTGTTTGAAGTCTCAGTTTTAATCTACAGCTTGAGAAGCCGAAGTGCAGGATGAGTGTGGAAGTGTTGGACAGTGCTACAATTGTTAACTTTGTTGAAGATGAAGAAGCATTCAACGTCTCAATACGGGATAGGTTTGCACATCTTGACACTGACCATGATGGACTCCTCTCCTATGCGGAGTTGTTGAAGGAGTTGCAGAGTCTGAGGGTCTTCGAAACTCACTTTGGCATTGACGTTAAGAGAGACCCCAAGGAGATGGCTCACGTTTACAATTCACTGTTTGTGCAGTTTGATCATGACTCCAATGGGACGGTGGATTTGGAGGAGTTCAAGGCGGAGACAAAGAGGATGATGATTGCTATGGCTAATGGGATGGGATTCTTGCCTGTTCAAATGGTCTTGGAAGAAGGCAGCTTCTTGATGAAAGCAGTAGAGCTTGAATCCACCAAACTGGCTGCTTAAATCTGTTCACTTGGAACCCAAATCCTTAATTTTTCAGACTACTGATCATTTACGTTTTTGTTTTTGTTTTTAATTTGTTCCACCATTTTCAATGTTTTACAAAACCAACTATGTCTGTTGAATAAATTGAATTTAAGTTGTGGAATTGCTGAATAAACTGAGAGATGATTGCATGAAGTCATGAACGAAGAGATCATTCACTTCATATGAACCAATTTGATGATAAATCTGAACCACTAACATAAGTACAATCATAAATTTGCAATTTATCCTTGTATTATTTCGTAAATCTCATACTTTATTTCTTGATAATTAAGTTAAAACATTCAAATAATTAAATATTTTAAATTCTAATATATGAATTTTGTTTTTTTAAAAAATAATCTAATTTGAATTTTGGCATTTCTATATAAATTTTTTGAACACCCCACACATCCTTATGCAATCTGAAATGTTACTATTGTTTAAAAAAGATTAAAAATTACCATCAATGTTATAACACATTAAGTTTGTCATTGCAAAATCATGTGCCAAATTATTATTAATGAAAAAAAAAGGAATTTAATTTAATTAATTAATATAATTATTTTTATGAGATGATATTCAATAATTTTAATATTTAAATCTAAATATTTATATCCCTTTATTTTATCTTTAAACTGTCATTTTTTTTATAATAATAATAATAATAATAATAATAACATTGAATGGAAAGTAATCTAATATTCTTTGATAGCCGTTAAAAGAAGACCAGAAGTTCTTTCGTTTCCTTAAAGCGAAAAAAAAAAAGGTATTAGTTGTTAGTTGTAGTCCTTGTAGACTGACGAACGATACGTTCAAGGGTGAAAGAAAAATAAAAAAAAAATAAAAAATTAATTTAAAATTATAACATTAGGTTTGAGTTTTTTTTTTTTAATTTAAATTAAAATATTAAATGAATATATTAAATTTGAATGAGTTTCAAATCAAAAAGTAAAAATTCAAATCAAGTTAAATTATATATTATTATTAATTTTTATATATTATTTAAATTTTTAAAAAATAAAATTAATTATTTTAAACTTAATTTTATTTAAATATATTAAAAATTATATTAAAATAACATATAAAAACAAAAAAATTAAATTTAAAAATTATTGAATTGAACCAAATGATTAAAATTCGATTCGAATAATATAAAGATCTGGATCATATTGAATTTTAAAAATTTATAATTTTATACATCATCAAAAAAAAAATCAAATCTAATTTAATTTAAACAGTTATAACACCTAATTATTTAATAAAAAATGATTGAATAAATAAAATTAAATATTTTGTTTTTAAATTTAAATATGATTTTTATAATTAATTTTTAATTAATAAATAATTTATAAATTTAATATAAATTTTCACACCCATATGTTCTTACTTTAAAATAGAATTATTTCTATATGTTCTTACTTTAAAATAAAATTATTTCTATCATTTAAATATTTTTTAGATATGATAATTCGTGTAGTCGTATTATTTAAAATATTATATTCACGTCATCTTTTATTTTATACGAAAATTATATATTACAATTCATATTAATATAAAATATAAAATTTTAATTTATTAAACTTATTTATAATTTTTTAAAGTTTTAAATTATATTATTTTTATATTATACTATTGTATCATATTTTAAATGATCTGATTTAATATTTTAATATAAAAAAACTCGGTGTCGGTGGCTTGTTGCTGCAAAGGGAATAAGCAATCTGTGGGCCACTGGGTTTCATTTTTCGTTGTTTTTGAAGACGTGTTTGGTTAGTCAAAGTAAGGTGACTTCCACAACGTCCACCTATTTCACCGAACGTCAGAAAAGTTCGGTTGAATGGTTCGAAATTTGAAGAGAGAAAGAAATAAGGTAAACGTAAATTTGAGAGAAATTGATATTTGCATGCATTAAGTATTTCATCTAAAATCAATTTAAAATCTCAAAAAATTAAATTAATTAACAAATGTGAAATAATTCTCAACTATTCATTTTAGATGTAAGTTTTTTTTTTAAATTCTTACCCTTATTTTTTAATTTTTATTTACTTAATTAATTTAACTTTGTAAATTTATAATTTAAAAAAATAAAATGAGCATGCATACTATTTGAGTTAATATTTATTTTATTTTAAGTTTAAATTTAGTTCTAATAATCTAAATAAAGTTATGAGTTACAAAACATAACAAAATCGAGTTTCAATATTATATCAAGCATCGGAACTATCCAAAATGAATATTATATCAACTTATCAAGCATCTAATATAAAATTAGTTGCTTAAAAATAAAGCTGAAGTGTCCAGACTAGAAAAACAAGTTGAACTTCGGCTTCAACTTGAAGCCGTGGTTAAGGTTTCTCTCCTTACAAGAACGTTCCTTTTCTTTTTGGTCTTGTCCTGTGACCGAGTTAAATTTCTACACGTTGAGTTGATAGCCCATCGGATGGTTTGCTTTTCAAACCAAAAGGCAACGTCCAATCTTTGTACAAAACCCAACAAAGAAGACAAAATTCCTTATGCTTCGGGTATTTATTTATTTTCTTTGATAAAATATTTTGATTAATGTTAATAATTAATTTCTAAAATATTGTAATTGTGGAACATGGATATATTATATAAACAAGCCCGCTGAACAGGATGCAATCTAGAAATTCAACCTTGAAATATTCCTTTGACGGTTTAAAGGATTTTAAAATGTAAATGGGAAAAGAAATATGAAACTGTGGCCAGAAATTAGATATGAAACTTCGATGTGGCACAATGGTATAGCCAGCGTATTTGGACTAAATCTAAGAAACAAGTACTCAATAACTGTATAGCGGGTGGGTATCACCTATAATTATGTTTAACATCCAGCGACGCCCTAGTCAATAGTCACGTGAAGCTCAAAACATTTTCTTGTTTAAACGTCCCAGTCTCATCACTTTTGATATACAGTTTGAGAAGCCAAAGGGCAGGATGAGTGTGGAAGTGTTGGACAGTGCTACAGTTGTTAACTTTGTTGAAGATGAAGAAGCATTCAACGTCTCAATACAGGATCGGTTTGCGCATCTTGACACTGACCATGATGGACTCCTCTCCTATGCAGAGTTGTTGAAGGAGTTGCAGAGTCTGAGGGTCTTCGAAACTCACTTTGGCATCGATGTTAAGACGGACCCCAAGGAGATGGCTCACGTTTACAATTTACTGTTTGTGCAGTTCGATCATGACTCCAATGGGACGGTGGATTTGGAGGAGTTCAAAGCAGAGACAAAGAGGATGATGATTGCTATGGCTAATGGGATGGGATTCTTGCCTGTTCAAATGGTCTTGGAAGAAGGCAGCTTCTTGATGAAAGCAGTAGAGCTGGAATCCGCCAAACTGGCTGCTTAAATCTGTTACACTTGGGAACCTAAATCCTTAAAATTTCAGACTACAGATTACATTTTTGTTTTTGTTCTTGTTTTTTTTTAATTTGTTTCACCAATTCCTATGTTTTACAAAACCACGTCTGCTGAATAAATTGAATTAACTATATATGTTGTTACTTGTTGCGCAAACTTCAGATGGAAAGTCATATGTATGGAGAGAGAGAAAGCGAGAGAGAGAGAGAGAGAGAGAGGAACTATAACAATGATCTTTTATTATGATAATGGTGATATTTCTACCTCAACAACAATTAAAAAAAAAGAAAAAAACCCCGCTATTCTACAACATGTTATAAAAACAGAGACATCTCAGGAGCTGGAATGAAGGAGAACGTCTTCAAAATTTGACTGTCTTTTCCAACTCTATTGCCTGATCTTTGATCATTGGGTATCCTTTCAGATGACTGTGGCTGGTCTGCGTCCAAGTCACAAGATGGAAAAGGAGTGACCATTTCCCCTTGCATGGGAGATGGCGAGGAGTTGGTTGAAACCATGCCAATTGGGCCATCGGTTGCTATTTTCTTCAAGGCTGTTTTGTGTTCCATGGGCTCCATGCTCGCCTTGCGTTTATCTTGAGCATTTAACAGGAAGCAGGGAAATAGAGTTGAACCTCAAGAAATAAGATTAACACCGGACACCAAGCAATTCTAAATTGCATGCTTAAAAGTGTTTGTTCAGAGTTATGAATGCAACAATGAAGACAGAACAAAGCATGGGGTCTAGCTACCTTGTAGAATCATTACTCTAGTTGAACAACTTGTCAATGATCAATCAGAGAATATGATGAGTGGCAAATGAAGGAATTAACAAAATCAAGCTAAACGAACAAGACAGTTTTTTTTCATGGGATCACTGGTTGTCAGAAGCATCATTTGCATATTTCCAAGCATGTCAAAGGACGTACAAAAGAGTTAAAACCGTTTTTTATTATTATTATTATATGCACACTCTTGAAGCACTTTCTTTCTTTAATCTTATCTACCAGGCACCATTTGAGCAATCCCATTAGAAATTTGAATTCACACTAATTTGGAAGGTAAAACATCCACGAGCAAGAGCATCTTAGAAAAGAGAAGGAACTCTCACGTGGCACTGCAGCCACTACTTTTTCTTTGGACTTCCAGACAGCATCGCCTAGAGATGATGGCAAAGGTGGAAAGATTTTGAGACGTTCATATATGCCTTGACCTGCTGCACGCTGAAAAGTGCAAACTGGTAAAAATTTCTGTGTTCACTATGAAGCACTATACAAGAACAATACTCACCAATAAGGCACCATAAACCCGCCAAGCTTCATATCTCTTTATCCCATTCTTTTGCTTCTCTAGTAGCAACTCTGGTTCAAGGAGTCGAAGGTATGGCTCAAGATTTGGCAGAATAAGAGGGCAAACCTACTTGTAAGTAAGACATATCATAATAAAATTACCAAAAATAGCAATAAAATGTTCAAAACTCAAATAGAAAATGGTTTGAAAGTAAATTCTCACAAGTCTATTAAAAGAACTTGAAAGACAGAGTGGAAGCTTGGCATAAAAGCACCAGCCACCTATGAAGAGAGATATAAAAGATCATATTTCTCATTTCTTTATTCATACACAGAAGAGGAGGAAAATATTTAATGAGAAGTGGATTTAAAGCTGGTCTCAGATGAGCAATAAGAATTTATGAAATAAAAAATTATGACCATCTTTTTTCCATATTTTGCCAAGACTTAAAACTTATATGTCATGATTAATAATTTACAAATTGTTGACGGAAATGGCATTGAATATTGCCAAGTGGCTGGGAAAAAAATGAAGGGCAGAAAAAAAAACACGAGGCAGGAAATCTTATA